CGGTGGGCGGATGTCTCGTTCTCAGAGGAATGCTGCACTTCAGGTGTGAACCTTGTTCTAGTATTTTCGTTTCCTATCATGGTTTCTCTCTATCCAATGTATAAGTTCTTGTTTAAAGATTCAGTTTATTTTGTTAATTTATTTGGTTCATTCAGACTAAGTTTTCTAATTTGCCTCTGTCAGATACCTACCAGTTTTATATATCGAAGAAATGAGCAAGAACAACGGCGTGGCAGAGGTAGGGGGCGTAATGCTCTCCATGATGGATCTGACAGTCATATGTCATCATCTGCACAAAACGGCGCCGATGGCCACGCTGGCCGTCTTGATAATGTTTCAGGGTCGTTTCAGTCATTAAGTATTGGATCTAGTTCTGGGGGAGCTGAAGTTGGCCAAGGCTCCAGGACTGGACGAGTGCTCGAACAGTTGTCCTTCCCACCTCTTTTAGACCCAGATATTCCTGACAACAGCGTTGATTCTTTTCATGATGAAACCTCATTTCCTTCATTATCAGAGCAGCAATCCAGGTATGCACTAGCTCTCAATCAGAGTGCAAGGGGCGCTGCGAGGCTTGGGGATGAGTCACTGTTTCCCCCTTTGCCTGGGTCTAGTAACAATAGGGGTGCTGCTTCAGCCCAACAGGGACTACAAAGTCTAGCCAGGAGCACACTTGCAGCAAGACTTCAACAACGTAGCAAGGGCCCTGTGAAGGTACTTAATACTGCTCGGCCTCGTCCCTCTGAAAATCTTGAAGTCCTCTCTAGTTCCACCCAGACATGGCCTACACCTGATCAGGGGCTACTCTCTGGATCTTCTCAGCTTCGATCTGGAACTCAACCAACAAGGGAGATTGGGTCCATGCCAGCTGTCTCCAGTAACACGGTGTGGAATCCTGTTGCTACAAACAAGATGAAGCACTCTGTTTCTACGCCTAATCTTGTGTCTGGTGGCTCATATGCCCAAGCATCATCAAGTTCAGCTTATGGTAGCAACAGAAGTCAAGATCCTCCTCAAGGTAACCAAACTTTGCCTGTTGCAGAGGATGTCCGTGCTGCAAACAAATCTCTGGTCGAAAGAATGCGTTCTGCTCTGGGAATGGATGAGGACAGGTACTCTGCATTCAAAGAGATTGCTGGTGAATACCGTCAAGGTATCATAGATAATTTGGAGTATCTTTCATATGTGGAGCAGTTTGGACTCTCACACCTTGTTCCTGAAATGGCTAGGCTATTACCTGATCCTCAAAAACAGAGGGAACTTGCTGATGCATATTATACAAATACACGGTTTAAAAGCCTCCAAGAAAATGGAGGTGGAACTAGCTCACAAGAGGGCAACCGTAAAAAGAAGGGGAAGGGGAAAGCTCCTGTCATAGAAAGAAGTGATGCTAATGATGTGAAGGGTGGTGCACTAGCAGATAACATTCTGGACACTGTAAGAAGGGTTCAATCAAACCACCAGGCTCAGGAAGGAGAGGCTGAGGTGCTGTCGAAGGATGGGTATCGACCGTCAAGGGGGTCCAACTGGCAGCTGGACCTTCATCTAATCTGGACAGTTCATCTGGTGCAAAAGATAACACAGGCAAGGGAGGAGGCAATAAGCAACCAAAGAAGACATCAAAGTTTCTCAGAGCTCGTTTAGGTGACAACTCATTAGCCACGCTTGATTTAAGTCGCCCTAGTGCAAGCCCTGAACGTCCTGAAAGGGAATCACAAGGCCCAGAGACGGGGTTGCCAGTGCGAGGTGCTTGGAAGAATGGTGGGAGTCAGAAAATCTTTTTGAGCAGTGGACGGAAGTAAAGAGTCGTTGCAACTGCATTTAGACGTGGAGACGGGGTTGCGAGCGCCAGGTGCTTGGAAGAATGGTGCGGGGCAGAAACTCTTTTTTGAGCAATGGACGGAAGTAAGAGTCATTGCAACTGCATTTAGATGTGTCCATATACCTGATCAACAACTAGGCAATGTCCTGTGCGTTGCTACGGGCACACAAATTTGAACTACATAAATTTTGTAGTCATGCATTTCAAACTCGTAATGATGTGGTGGGCAGCACTTTCTTAATGTGGTATAAATATACTATACTAGACTAGATTTTGTGTGCGTTGCAAGGGAGCGTTTGGTATTGTCGAAAAATCCTTGCCAGGCTAAAGTCAAGATATAGAGGATTCTTGTCCACATGTTGCTATATGTTTCCAATGCTTGGTTCTTTATTGAAGTCCACATGTTGCTATATGTTTCCAATGCTTTGTTCCTTTTTAAAAAAGCATCTAATTGATGAAGTATGCAAACCATTTAAACTTGATGGTTCCTGATTGCATATTCCTTTCTTATCCCGCCCTATTGTGAATTTGTGATAGACACGTACGAGAAACTCGAGTTACAATAGCAGGTTGTATGTACCTCGACGCTGTAGGCTCGCAGGCTTGCCCATGAATATACGTACGTGACACTTTTGTGTTCCTCGATCTGTGGCCATATACATTCTTTGTTCGATTCATGTATGCGCTTGGAGATCTGTAGCCATATACCTGTCTTCACAAAAACGTACACGCTACCCAGTGGTAACAATGACTTATTTGTTCAAGAGCTGAATTTAGCTGAAAAATACTGTTTTTGATTGAATTGTTGTGAGAAAAAAACACTGTTCCGATAAAAAAAAGAAACCGAAAAAGTCGGCTTTTGTGACCAGCCGAACGGCACCATGCATGTACGAGAACGAGACTAACAACACCTGGGCTGAAAGGCACGGGAGAACGATGCCTCGCTCACTTGTGAAGGGATCAGCAAGTTTATGGACTTCTCTTAAGGGGTTGTTCGGTTTTCTCGGAATACACCAGGAACAATTCCAACTCTCAAAATTAGTACAAACTATTGAATCATTTTGGCTAGAAATTATTCATGGGCTCTATTCCTGATGAAACGAACAAGCCCTATGGCCCTAGAGGAGATGATGGACTTTACACCAGCGGTAACGAGTTGTTAACTTGTTTAATAATGTATATATACACACATACAAACGGTAGTACGTAGTACGATGGACAACTGGCTGCATCTAATCATATTTTTACATATACCCTTAACTAGTGGTTAATAATGGGGATTAATAATGTTAGGCTAGCCAAATCTTTAATCTAATGATAATGAAGCTACAAGTATTACGCAGTTTAACTGCAACCACATTACCTCTATTCATTCGGACATTAAAAAATAACAAGGTGCCAGCATGAACATGAGCATGGCTAATTGATCGTTTATATGCATGGTTAAAGTAGAAAAAAGCTACAGCACTGTACCAAGGTCTTGTTTAAATTTAGGGTGTAAAGTTTTGTGGTGTCACATCGGGTGTCACATGGGGTGTTCGGATACTAATAAAAAAACAAATTATAGAATCCATCGGTAATCCGCAAGACAAATTTATTAAGCCTAATTAATCCATCATTAGCATATGTGTTACTGTAGCACCACATTATCAAATCATGGACTAATTAGGCTTAAAAGATTCGTCTCGCAAATTAGTCACAAACTGTATAATTAATTATTTTTAGTATATATTTAATACTCCATGCATGTGTCTAAACATTCAAGGCATATTCAATGGGATAGAGAATAAACTTTAGGGAAGGAACTAAATAAGGCCCAAATCCCAAACTATTGCGTCTGGATTTCAGTTAAAAATTAATAAACTACTAAATCATTGGTATTGGACAAGCAAAAATCCATAGTTAAGTACATATAATATTTTTGTTGTTGACATGGGCTGTGAATACTATGACAAATCGCAAAAGATGAGATAAAAGTTTAAAAAGTATCATGACAGCACATTAAGATTATTAGCAATGCATTAAATTGAATAATTTTTAAAGTTAACCATGATATTCCTCGAGCTTCTTTCGAGTATAGGCATGCTTACAAGTTATGACCAACCGTGTTTATTTAAAAAAGAGAAGAAACCAACAAATTAAAAAAAAACTAGTATGTGACGATTGAGTTGACCCATCTTATATGTTTGGTCAATGGGTTCTGGTCCTGTTAACCCACTTTAGACTTTAAAAATAACTCTTGTAGTCCTTTAACATTAATTTGTGGATACAGTCAACTACGCAGCCGGCGCATGGTATCAGCAACTTCTCAGACAAGATAACGGCTCCGATAAATAAAAAAAACAAGATAACGGCTTTCGATGACGGTGGCCTGAATCCAATCGCTACCTCTGGTTTCCTGCACCTCCGATTGGCCCACGTCAATTGAGGAATGCAATTCCTACGAAAAATTCCTTTGAAAAGCTTTGGGTTTTTTTTGAACGTAAGAAAAACCTTTGATTTAAATGGGTCCTAAAGTGAAACTGGTAGGCCCATATTATATTCGTACGTTCGGTGGCACTTCCAGATACCCGTACGTTCGGTGGCACTTCCAGATACCTGCACGGGCTAGCAAATGTTGCGAGCCAAGACCATTGCAATGTTGCGAACATAGCCTGGCTCCATGGCAGAGTGGAGTGGCAGCGCGTTGCAGAGAAAAGCCCTTCCCGCTGGTTCCTTGCAGTGAGCAGGAGGCGATGGCCGCTGGCCCGTGCGTCAACCGTCAGAAACTCAGAAAAGCACAGGGCACGACAGGATCCAGCAATGAATGGCAGCATCATGACCCATGCATCGCATCCAGTCCTACATGGGCCATCGTGCCCGGCCTACAACAACGTCCCGTAGGACCCGTACTCCTAAAAAGAAGACCAGTACAGTAGGACTTTCCGGCATCGCTGATAGCTGACGACTCGCCAGTCTCCACGGCATGGATTCAACATGATTTCAACACTGACACAACTCAGTACTCATCCCCTAGTTAACAAGCTCCCGTGCATGCCCTGCCCTCAACGACATTAGCTATCTAAATATGCTAAACACTCTACGCTAGTGCTCAAATCAAGATTTGCGTAAAAAAAAGGTTGGGCCAGATGCGTTTAGTTTCCTGCAAATCTGATGGGAAATGGGAGGGGCTCCTGGTGGCCTATTTCTGCGGCGGCGGCTTCTTCCTTCCCGGGATGCATCTTCCCCTGATCCCTCCTCCGTCGCCTTCCATCTGCTCATCCATCGTCTCCTCTCCGATGGCACCACCGCCGGGCCTACAACTCCTGGATGAATGAAAAGTTAAAAACAAGAATGAATCATCCATGCAATCGTCATCTTCCTTTCCTAGATGCTGCCTGCAAACGCCAAACAGTAATCACGTGACAACGGCCTTGTCCTATAATCCATACTCTATAATCCATACTCTTTGGCTTGTTTTTTCAACCGAAACACAGCATGTTCGCTGATCGGTTTCTAGGAAAATAGCATGTTCACTGGTCGGTTTCTGGACTGATAAACCCGACTGGTCTTGGATTTGTTATGAGAGAAAAACACTGTTGGGACTGATAAGGCCTGACCAAAACCAACAACAGGCTATAGTATTTTTCTTAGGGTTTCGGCTGTTTTTTTCGACAAAGCGAACGGGCCCAACGTGCGTAAGCACGCATAGCCTTATTATCCTACTGTACGTGTCCCACAGTAGTACTCTACCTTGTCAGCCTGTAGGCGTGCAGTGACGACTGTGCTGTGCGCTACGCAACTCTACACGGGAATGGCACAGTGCACAAAGTACGCTCACCGCTGCAGGGTACAGCCTCACCCTCACCGCCCCACGGAACAGTACACATGGACACATGGGTCCGTGCCATGCCATTATTCAGGGCACGCAAAAGTCCAACGAATCACGTCGAACAGAGACTACTCGTTCGGTACTCCGGCCATACGCCACAGTAGACAGTACTCCTCCTCCTGCGTGCTGCCGTACCATTCCCTTTCTCTGGGTTCTCAACGTGCCGTGCATGCTCTGCCATGCACGACAACGCTAGGACGTGTACGTAGACGCAAAATTCCAAGTGAAGTGAGGACGTGAGGTTACCTCTCCTCATTGTACGAGCTGGAGCGCTTCAGCGACGACGCCGGCAGCGGCGTGCCCCTGCCGCCGGCGCCCTCCACGATGCTGCCGCTGAAATACTCCTTGTCCTGCACGGCGACGTGGCAGAACCGACGGCCCAGGTCGCCCCCCGCCGCCTCCTCGTCCTCGTCCTCGTCCGCACCGCCGCGGGCTGAGAGCCGGCTCACCAGGCCGCAGCTCCGCCTCGGCTCAGCGCGGCACTTGCCCGAGCCACCGCCGCCGCCTCCTGCCGCGGCTGGCGCCGTCGACCCACACGCGATGAGCTGCAGCAGCATGGACCCGGGACGGCTCGGCTCGACGGGCTCCTGCAGCAGGTCCGAGGCCCGCCGCCCCGTCTGCTGCTGCTGCGGCGCCGGCGGCTTGTCCGAGGAGGTCGAGGACGGCGGCGAGGTCTCCTCGACGGGGAGCTCCACGGGGCGGGCCCTGTTGGTGGTGCGCGCCGAGACGGCGGCCTTGTCGGCTCGCGCGGCGACGAGCCGGCCCGACGACGCCGTCCGGCGGTGGTGGTACGAGTACCCCAGCTCGTCGTCGTCCCGGTCCTCTACGGCGTCGTCTCTGTAGTTGTCCGCGTGCTGCTTGTGGCTCATGTGGGGCAGCGCCAGCGGCGCCTTCGTCGGCGACCTATCGGTCACGCGGAGGTGCTGGAATCGATCTGCAACGAGCAGCACCAGGTGAAGTGTCAGGAAGAGACGGAAAAAAAAGAGCTCAGTGTCACTGCACAAATTGAATTGAATGATCTGGCGAGACAGGTGGCTAATTAATTTCAGATGATGGGCGCTTCCACATCGCAAAGTCTTCGCGAATTACGAGGTGGTGCAGAAAGGGTGACGTGCACCGTGTGAAAAAGGCAAAAAAGGCTGCGCTCGCATTTACCCAGCGGGCCAGGCCAGCTCCCATGGTCGTCCAAGTCCAACCTGGTTGACGGTGAGAACAAAGGAAAATGGACCACATAATCAAGATAAACCTACCGTGCACAATAATTCAAAAATCAGCGTGTGAGTTTCCATTTTTCATGGATATGCTTCGGTCGGCTTTCATATGCATGCAACTTTGCAAGCCATGGACATTTTCAGCAAGGTCAGCGCAACTAACTCGGACGAGATGGAAGTAAGGAGACGAGGGTCGATGGGTACCTGAGGAGCAGCCAGGGAAGATCTCGGAGCCCTTGAGCACGTATTCGACGCCGTCCGACGGGTAGATCACATCGTTCTCCGACAGGTCGTTCCACACGTACCCGTTCTTGTAGTTCCTTCAACAATCAAAATGTCGCCAGCAAATTTGCGTGTAAGCTCACCTGTCCTGCTCTCAGAGTGCGCACGTTGCCTGTGTAGCGTAGAGAAGGGAAGTACTACAGCAATACGTACCTCTTGCAGGACCATGAGAAGAGAGCCGGGATGCCCTTGCCCCTCAGCAGCGTCAGCCTGTCCATGACATCTTCACACCACAGCCGCGAGAGCGTAGTAACAAGAAGATTGCAGCAGCGTCAGCAGGGAGCAAAGAAAGAAAGAAGAGTGAACATGCAGCTTGCAAGCTCCACACTCCACCACAGTGCATACCTTTGAGGCGGAGTGGCTGGTGCGGGTGCTGCGCGAGCTCCATGAAGTGCGGGTGCTCCAGCTGGCCGTTCCGGCAGAGGTAGTAGATGATCTGCACCTTCCTCATGGGCCTCGCCGGCGCCGGCCTCGCTGACAACGCGTACGTCGTCGGCCTGCCACGCTCGGGGCTCGCCTCCACCCTGCCCACCAGCGGCCTCCTCCCTCCGGCTCCGGCTCCAGCCGCCTCCATTTCCTCCCCTTGTGTCCACACACACACGAAACAGCTGGGGCTCTTGTAGCAGGAATGACGAGTCGGCAACCTTTTGCTGTACGAGCCTACGACGAGGCCGCTTTGGGATTTCGAGAGGAGAGCAGAGGCGACGACGAATGGAGTGGGAATGGAACGTCAGCCGAGCCGGGTTCCAGGCGGCCGAGCACTTTTTATACGTCGCGTCGCGCGCTTTGCGGGTTTCGAAAGAACCAGGCACCCATGGCATACCCACCCACCAAAGAGGCATCGGCCAAAACTTTTTCCCGGGCGTCGTGGTCCGGTTAGATTCGCTTTTAACCGCGCCGCGCCGGCCACTCGAAGATGGGGGCACGGGCACCGCACACGGCGACGTGGTGGGAACTTGGCAGCAGAGGAAAGAAGAAAGAGAAGGGCACTGCAGGGCGGCAGAGCTCGGGCGGGCATGCAGACGGCGTCATCAATCGTGTACTGCGGCGCATTGATTGCACCTGCCCCGCACGGTGCAGCGCTGCCGTGGGCAACAGCGCCGGTGCCGGGGCCCGGCAGAGACGTGATGTGGACTTCTGCTGCGGGGCGGAGGAAGACAGACGGCGGACAGGAGAGGAGACTGGAGAGAGGGAGAGGGGGACCCCGCATGGGCATATGGCTGGCCCCGTCCTGCCCACGCCTTTCCTGGGCTCGTCGCCTGTGTCGCGCGCACTTCGGCCCGGCCGGCCGGGCCAAGGCCTCCCTCCTCCACCAGTCACCACACGCCCTGCTTTGTTTTGGTCTGGTTCGAGGTTTGCGACTGCGATTGCATGTGCAGGCAGGGCGGGGGACGCGATTAGCGAGCGTCTTGTGCGATCATTCAACTAGCGCAGTGCAGTGAAGGGCTTGCAGCTTTTGGAAACAAAGATAGCCAGCGCAGCTCTTGGAGCCTGCTTCTCGGTCTGATCCTGATGGGATGGGAAATGGCAGGCCGAGTCACGGGCCCCAATCACGGGCCACTTCTCATTGCTCTTGCTCTAGGCCAACGCTGATAGCTCTCATAAATTCTGTTAACCTTCCTCTAGCATTTCTTGAAGTTTGGGCCTGTTCGATTGGCTGAATTTTATATGAAATTAGATGAAAAAAATTGTTATTATTAAATTATTGTGACTGGCTGAAAAAAAAAGCCAAATAAATCAGCTTCTGGCTAAGCCAAACGGGACCCAAGTCTTCTCTAAATCGCCTTTGACGTTTCCAACTTTTCAAACCCGACGAAATTGCTCATTGGGTAATTTTCGTTCTGTTCGTTTGCCTTATAAATCATATTTTTTTAGTCAACGAATAATATTTTTCTTTTATAATAAATTAGCCAATAATACTTTCAACCAGTGCTTATCAACCAAACAAACATGACATTTAATAACGATTTTATCAGTTGCATCACCTACCTGGTGTCACGCCAACCGCAAGGACGATAAATCATATCGCATTCATATAGTTCAAAGAAATTATAGACTTTATCAAAAAAAACTTCTGGAAATATTTTTTCAAGAAATATCAAAACACTTTTTACATAGTTCAAGTGACATTTTTATCGGGTACAACTCGGACGCACCACACACACTCCACACGCAAAGAATAAGAGTGGGAGGCTCTTTGGCCTCCGATGCATGGGAAACGCGCACCCTATTTTCCCTTAGCAAAAAAATTTCAGAAAAAGGTGTGACACCATGATTTAAACCCGGATAGCCTCTCACTGGATAGCCCTACCAATGGACATAAGCCCTTTCACTACACGGTTCAAGTGACTTGACAATGCGGTAACTGTGGCAGAACCGTTCAAAATAACATATTTTTGAAGGCGCTCGTCTTCCACTAGACACTAAGCACCTCGAAAGTGAGCTACATCGAGCAGTTCTATCGAGCACACCCCAAAGGAGAACTCGAAACAATCCACGTTTTACATTCAGAATCAATGATGAGTATGAGCTTACAATACTTAGTCTATTCCATACAACAAGAGTTCTTAGAAATTATTTATTACAATACTAAAGTTCAGAGTACGATAATTAAACAGCAGAATGAAAATAAACATCGAGCGGAAAACGGTACAAGGATCCGTCTGTGCCCGGAAGAATCCTCCACACAAGAGCTATTCCTCAAGCCGCACCTGCAACATGTGTAAAATAAACCATGAGTATACAATATACTTGCAAGATTTACCCGACTAGTAGGAATAGTTTTCCGACTCCAAGGAGTATGATAGGCAATATGGGTTGGTTGTTTTCTTTTTGTTTGCGAAAAGCATTACTAATAGTTCATCCTTAAAGTCGATTTTATTAGCAGTCATGATTACTTCATTAGCTAACCATTCTAGGTAAGCACATGTTCTACTTTCAAGCAAGGGTTAAGCAATCAGAACCATTTTATCATCTTTCATCTTCCAGTTTTTACTACGGTGCTATACCATAGCCAAGTCGTACCGTCTCACAGAAACGGTGATTCGCGAACCAATCTATCCCAGCTGGGTACCCTGAAACACACACCCCGTTTGTACCACAGGCACAAACAAGACCAACCCATCTCACTCCTGTCATGGGGTCCAGGTCCCCATCCAAACTTGAACTCCAAGCCCCCACACTTGAGACCCGGTCTCAATATGATGCTTAGACCTCCACCTTTCCCCGCCTCCAATCAGTCGGTCCGAAAAGAACCGGAACCCATGATAAAAGCGTAACGAGCATTTCCACTCCCATAAGCAAGTATGTACTCAGAATAATAAGTCTATGACCTGACTACCATCCACAGCAACGAACGGTCCTTAATCGACACGAATAGGGAAAACAGTGTAACCAAGCTAAGCCCTATTGACCGCGGGACACAACCTGTTATACCCACCAATACCCATACCATATTCCTGCCCTGTCTCTATTTTTCCTTTTATCATTTTATTATGAGAGTATTAATAATCACTGAAAGGGACCGTGACGTCTAAGAGGGAGGTGAATTAGGCAACTTAAAAGTCTAACTTTAAACTATGGCATCTTTTTCTATTCTTAGCAAAATCAATGCAAAAGATAAACTATCTTAATGTGCAACTACGGTTTTTCTATTATGTTGCTATCTCTACTGCAAAAGGAGCTATGCAAACAATGTAAATGCGGAAGCTAAAGAGTTAAGTAGAGATATGCAAACTCCCAGCGACGACTCCGGTATTTTTACCGATATATTGAGAAGCGCACAAGTTTCCTCCTAGTCCTCGTTGGAGCCCCTCGCAAGGGCCAAGATCAAGTCGAGTAACTCTATGGTAGCCCCGGGCCTTCCCCACGCACAAGTGGGTCTTTGGTGTCTCTTTCAGCAAGCCTCTCTCGGATCGCTCTCCGCTGTCTTCACTATCAAACTTTCGGCTGAACCGCCGCGGGCCTTGTTCCCTTCGGTATACGGTGGCGACCACACCACAAACGCAGTTGGTGTGATCTAGCAAGACTACAAGCCCTCCGATGTACAACAATGGTACGCCCAATCACCGAGTGGTAAGATGTATGCAAACCTCACTAAACACTAGGCCTAAACCTAGAGCAAGCGCATAAGGGATGGTCTAATCAACCTAAGCACTTCACAAAGCACCTACACTAATTCCCTAATAAATCACTAAGCACTATGCAAGTGAAGATCACTAAAATGGTGTGTTAACACCCTTGGTATGTTTCCTCAGCTCCACTATACTTAAATGGCCGGTTGGGGGTCTATATATAAGCAACACTGAGAAAGTAGCCGTTGGGGCTGAAACCCACCATTCTGCTACTGACCGGACACTGCTGTCGTCTTGACCGGACATGTCCGATCGTCCCGACCGTTGAAGCTAGCACGTTGATCAGACTCGGCGCTGAGTCCGGTCACTGTTGATCGGATGCGTCCGGTCGCGCTAGCGCCGCTCTAGAACTTCTCTGGACTCGATCGGACGCTGCAGTTCCTACATCCGGTCGATCACCCGCTAGCGTCCGGTCAGTGCAGAGCTATTGTCGTGACAGTGAACAGTGTCATCATCGTGTTCGATCAGTTGAATCCTCGGCGTCCGGTCGCTGCTGCTGACGCCTGCCGTTACTGAGCATCTTGATCGGACGCGTCCGGTCGCTATAAGGACCGCGTCCGGTCACCTCTGTAAAGCTCGTTTCTTCACGATTTTGCGTCCGGCTTGGTTCCTATCTTCGTGCTTGGACTTTGCTTGATATCTTGGGTCTTCTCTTGTGCTTCTAGGGTCTTGCTTATAGTATTGATCTTGGGGTCATTATGTCGCCTTCGTCCAAGTCACGTCTTGTACCCTATTGAACTAGAAAATAATTACTTGCAAATTCATTAGTCCAATTTGGTTGTATTGGTCATCAAAAACAAAAATCCAAAGTAAATAGGCTTAGGGTCCATTTTCCTTACAATCTCTCCCTTTTTGTGGTTGATGACAACACGACCAAAATAAGCAAATAATAAAAATTTTAAAATTTAAAAAATTATTTACTTGCTAGGATGCAATGCAAAAGGAAAGGTTATATGATGCTAAAAGATACCACATATAAACATCTTTGAAAACTTATCTTGCCCTTACAAATGTCCTCATGTGGCATTATGGATTTAAACCTCTCCCTAACTCCATAATCCACTATCCTCCATTTCTCGAACCATTACCACTTATAAATTATTAAGATCGGACTTGCTTTTGGTCCTACAAATTCTCTCCCTTTAGAATCAAACACCAAAAAGGAAGATATTAGTAACAAAAGGGAGGGTCAAACTTTGTGATCATTTGTATGTGAAGTGGAATAGGTCATAAAATTTGACTCCCACATTACATGGACTAAGCTCCCCCTAAATATATGCATAAATATGATGAAGAATGTAGTTTATGCATAATTAGCAAATTAATGCTAAAGGGAGTTTAATCTATATAATGCATGGAGAAAGCATATAAATACTAAAGTAAAATCAACACGATGATATCGGTTTAGAAATACCACATGTGGAAACTAATTTGATTTATA